GATGAAAGATCGACGGAGTGTCTCCCTACGAGAGGCCTCTACCACGCGCGTCCACATCTGCTACGCGGCCATGTATCGTTACCGAATGGGCAGATCGACCGGGGGTGTATAGTTTTCCATACGAGGATCGTTTTACTGTTCGTAGGCGCCTGCATGTGCTTGTGTATTGTAGCAGCATTGGTTTAGTGCCTCTGCCAATGCTTCATAAACAAATGGGACGGATTGTGTGGTGTTGGTATTGGGGGACGGCTACATGCTGTTTTTGTGCCTGGGCCTTATGGTCATTGTAGTCGCTGGGGGGCAGAGGTTGTAGGCTTTTTACACATGAACTTTAGTATTGGTCCAGTTGAAGTTGCTCATGTTTTCACAGCTCTTATGCGAAAAGTAGGTTTTACCGGGCCTTACTTGTAACGTACTGTGTCAACGAGATGATCCCTTCTATCTTTTCGAGTAAGATACCGCACGATCACGTTACTGTATGATCTACATTTACAACTGCCTGTGCAAGATAGAATTTATTTTTCTTCTAAGATCTTATAAACACACCTCTTGACGCTTGTTAAGCTTGCATCGCAGTGATCTCGCCACTTTGCAGTTGCTAAGCGTATCTCACCCTCTCTCACTCGTCGTGAAGTAAATCAGGCTGTAGAACGTCTCCATGAGCTCGAAAAACCTGGTGCTGTTAAGGCCGGTATAGCGAAAAAGTAAACTCCGCATAAACTCTTCGGCATCATGATATTAACTAGTCCCTAAAGGATTAGCCGACATCGGTCTCAAACTTCTATCTTAGCGCATTAGAACTACTAGCTTCGGTAACCCATTTCGGTACTATTTAATATCGGCTGATGTAATTACAGGAAAACATGAGCAACTTCAACTGGACCAATACTAAAGTTCATGTGTAAAAAGCCTACAACCTCTGCCCCCCAGCGACTACAATGACCATAAGGCCCAGGCACAAAAACAGCATGTAGCCGTCCCCCAATACCAACACCACACAATCCGTCCCATTTGTTTATGAAGCATTGGCAGAGGCACTAAACCAATGCTGCTACAATACACAAGCACATGCAGGCGCCTACGAACAGTAAAACGATCCTCGTATGGAAAACTATACACCCCCGGTCGATCTGCCCATTCGGTAACGATACATGGCCGCGTAGCAGATGTGGACGCGCGTGGTAGAGGCCTCTCGTAGGGAGACACTCCGTCGATCTTTCATC